TTTTTTTTTTTTTTTTTCCACGGTTAGGATCAAGAAAGAACTGAACGAACTACGGGAGAGATACAACCACATCGTAAAATATGCAGACGCAGGGGTTACGAACACAGCAAAGTTTGAAGCCCCCCAGGGGAAGACCTACATAAGTCAGAAGAAGCACATGCTGCTAAACATATAATGCGGAAGGACGGTCGAATGGACCGATGTGGGGCCATCCCACAGTGCATACTCGGCAGTGTGGGAAACGGCCACATTATCATCGCTGGGGTCTTCACATGAAGAGGGTCCCCTTTTACTTTTACCCTGCTCCTGTGAAAAGAAACTCATTCGATTTTGCAAAACTGTCCTTGCGCGTCGCGTCGCGTTGCGTCATTTTTCGTCGCGTTGCGTCATTTTTCGTCGCGTTGCGTCATTTTTCGTCGCGTTGATTTGATTTTTTTTTTTTTTTTTTTTTTTTTTTTTTTTTCTCTCCACTGTGGTCGGTGTGCTCTTTTGTCTCGATTGTTGCTGCGTTTATTTACCCCCATGTCATTTTTTTATTTTCCAATATGATGACCAGGTACAAGGTGTCGATTTCCTTTTCACCTCCATTCGGGGTACACTCCTCTCCAACCACTTGCTGCAACTCTACCCTGTATACTTATATGCCATGTCGGGGGTGTGTGAGTTGAGTAATGATTCAGTGGAGCTTCCATACCTCCGTTACACACACCTCAAGGAGGACTGCTCAACGATTGATATATATTCGGTTGGCCAAATTCTATTTACATGTCTTTCCCCATTGGTGTGAGGGATAAAATAGAACAGAGGACGACTCAGAAAATAAACAATGTTGTTTTGTGCGGGGGGTCAGTTTAGCTGAACATATCCCCCTTTTGCAGTTCTCTTTTTATGCACATTTGCGCTTCTATTTTGCTTTGCGTATGTTAGGAGGTGACTCGTTTGGGGTGGTTCATATGCGGAGGACTGGAGGATGGCAGCTCTTACAAGGTGAGCATGATAAAATCGCCCTCCCCAGAAAGAGAAGGAGGAGGGGGGGAAAAAAGAAAATGGCATCAACACATAAATATAGCATGTAATAAAAAATACATGGTGTTGAAAGGAACCGGAAGAAGGATAAGTAGAAAGTTGCCTTCGCGTGCAATTTAGTACCTAAGGAGCATTCAGATGTTGACTCGTATTGTTTCATCACTTATGTGCGAACGCTGGGTAAGCGCTTTTAACCGTTTTGTAACCCCACGACAGTGGGCAAGGATGTTATATTTATAAAACAAACATTTATGCGCAACGGACCCTATGCTTTTCGGTGCGGCAAAAAAAAAAAAAAAAAAAAAAAAAAATACATATATGTATATATATAAAAGAGGCGCAAAGGAGAATGCAAAAAAAAAAAATAATAAAGAATAAAATAAAAATAAGAAAATAAAAAAAAGAATATGACTAAGAAAAATAAGAAAAATACGATAATGAAGCGATTGGCACAGTAGCCCTTCCAAAAACGCATTTATTTTTTCGCGAGCATGTATTTACATAGGTACATACAGCTGAAGATGTAACCGCGTTTAAGGCCAAATTTTACATGACCAGTGAAGAATTTATATTAAATGCCCGCGCGAGCCCTTTACATGGATGTTCTGCACGGACTTTATATAAATTAAATATGTGACACTTTTCTTGCCTGCCTGGAAGTTTCTCGTCTAGCCCACTCGTTTTTTTTTTTGCGCGGTTTTAATTCGAAGCAAAAGTCAAGGCGTCATTCTGCGAGTCGCCCTTTTTTTAGCAGAGGCGCGACTGTAGGAACGATCTCAGAGGAGGTACTTGAGCGACGCGCAACTCTGCGCAATGCATATACATATGCGTGAGTGCATACGTACATGTTACATGGCCGTGTCGTTACTTCCATACATCGTTACGTCCATACGCTCGTCCACCCCCCTCTGCCTCTCGGGGGAAGTGTCTCGTTTTGAACGCTTCTCCCCATTTGCCGCCGCATCCCATGGAAGAATTCCATGACGTAGCCGTTCCCGCGAGGAAATAAAAGATTAGGGCAGAAGGACCCACTGGGGGTTACCTGTCAATGGGTCTGTACTAAATTGCGCGCACCTACTGGCCCGTACTTTTGTGTCCACATATTTTGTGCGAACCACTCGTGTGAGTTAAAAGTTACATACTTTGTGTGTAATAGTCCTCTGTTGAGGAGTTCATCTGCTTCGCCCCTTGCAAATTACGTATTGCTATCCTTTTTCCCCGCGTCATCTATCTTGTCCATTTGGAACCAACTGCGGGAGGAAATCGACTTCGTTTCCCCCGTCCAGAGGAATGGTTCACATGTGAAACCTGCGTGGCGGCAAAATAGGGAGCAGGGGGGGTTTTGCAACCCGTGCGATGCTCTGTAACGGTTGTGGGAGGAAGCGAGAAAAGGCATTCACGCGTGTTTACATGTCATTACATTTTATATTATATCCTTTACACCCATTCATCTTTTGTGTGTCGTTTTAAATGCACCGATTTAACGACACCTTACCTGTATGCTTTTAAAAAGTACACTTCCCACACACACACACATCCCAAATTCCTTATTTTTTTTTTTTTTTTTTTTTTTTTTTTTGTCCTGCTTGTATCAATGCATGTGCATGTATAGGTCCCTACATGAAGGCAACCCTCATTTTATAGTGACCCTTGTGAGAAGCGTATATTTTATCTCTGACTTTTTTTTTTTTTTTTTTTTTTTGCTGCGATTTTAATGTGTTTCGCGTTTAACCCAGAGTGGGAAGTGCACAAGAAAGGATATTTAACTTAAGGGGGACAGTGTACTGAGTGAAAGAGGACACTCTCTTCCGCCCCCCATACACACACCTACCCACAAAGACATATATACAAGGGCGTACCCAACAACAGAGGCATGATAATCACCCTTACAGAATGAGTATAAAAAATAAAATTGACATGAGCCTTGATGAGCTCATAGAAAAGGAAAACATAAAAGTCACCCAGAAAGGGCCAAATGAAAAAAAGACTGTTAACAAGTCGATTGAAAAAAACACAGGTAGGACAGAGGAATGTATGCACATGTACACATGTGTGTATATGTGCAGCGCGTGCTCGTAGCGAGTACCCATGTGAGTCACCCAAGTGTTAAATACATCCCCCCCCCCACTTGTAGGGCAAAAGTTCCTGCACAGTATAATCATCTCAAATGTGAATAGTAACAATTTGGAGTTGTACAAAAAGGAATTTAGCAAATTTGGAAAAATTTATAACATCTACCATGACAGTGAGAAGAAGATAACGTAAGTGTTTTGTGATGTACCTCTCTGTCACGCTGTGGCATCTTTTGTGTAAGGGTGGCCTACTCCCCTTTTTTTTGCTTTCTGTTCCCCCCCCCCCCTGCATGTCTTTTATATTTTTACATTATCTCTCTCCCCTTCCTGCAGATACGTAAAATATGATAATAAGAATTCCTGCGACAATGCCATAAAGTCCATGAACGGGAACCCCCTGGATGGGGACACCATAACGATAGTATTGGTACGTGCTGGGCGGTTTGGCTGCTCTTCCGCTCATCTGCTTAACCGATTAACCGCTTTGCTGCGCGCAGTTTGCTGATGCACACTCATATGTATGCACTTGCTGTGCCCCCCCTGCAGGGAAAGAAAATACCGGACAAGAAGAACAATAAGGGTGCCAACCAGAACAATAATGTTAATAATAATAACCACAACCCGAAGCACAATAAAATTATCCCTCATTTTAAAATGCCCATGTACAACCCCAACGGTCCCTACCCCTACTATATGAATAATAATCACGGAAACTACCACCCGCCCCCCTATGGCCAAGTGCCCTACCAGAGCCCCTACCAGGGTAACATGTTCGACAAGGGCATGCCCCCCTTTGGCAGCGGGGCGAAGCACGTTTACGGTAAGGGCGCGGTGTAGCGATTGAGTAGCCGTCGTAGCCATTTCATGACCGGTGTAACAATTTAATCACCGATGCAGCTGTGCTTACCTCATTCGTTAAAACATTTTTTTCTCTCCCCCCCCTGTGCAGATAACCAAAAGAATAACACCATCATAGTGACCAACGTCCCCACGTACCTGAACGCTGAAGACATTTTTTCCGCCTTCCAGGAGACGGGCAAAATCGTCGACGTGCAGATCCTCATGAATGAAAAGGTGAGCTGCCGCTTCTGCCGCTGCTATTGCCACTGTTACCGCCTCTATTATTGCCGCCGTTACCGCTGCTTCTACTGTTGGCAGTCTTTTCCTATGTGTGTGTCCATTGTACTTGCTGGACGCCACACCTGGGGTTGCCCCATTATACATGTTACAACACGTACACCGATGTTACACTGCCTATTTCTCCCCCCCCCCTTTGACAGAGAAAGCTAACAGGGATTGTTAGCATCGAGTACGAAAAAAACGAGTCAGCATCGGATGCAGTGCGCATGTACGATGGTGGTTTTTTAAACGACAACAGGATTAGGGTTTTCCTGGACTGTCGCTAATTGAAGCCCTCTGTGTTCTGTCTCCCCCGTGCGTTCTGCACGCACAAAAAGGGGGCAAATGAACACAAAAGGGAAGGAAGAAAATATGTGAAGATAAGGTCAGCGGACAGCAAATACAAGTGCTACTCAACGATGCGCGTAAAATGGAAGAGAGGAGAGGTTAGAAGGCGTGCACATATATAGACGTGGTGGAAAACACTATTAAATCCCTTTGTGAAAACACAAAGTTGTAATTTTTTTTTTTTTTTTTTTCCCTCTCTGATTTACACTTCATCGCTCCCTCATGGAGAGAGACAGAGAGAGAGAGAGAGAAAGAAGAAATGTGTCCATTGTGTTTTAATCGTATTAAAGTGCCACCTTTTTTTTATTTTCTTTTTTTTTTCCCTCCTTTTCCTTTTCGCGTTCTTTTAATTAACAACACAATTATTGGTGGTTGAGTGTGCAAAAAAAAAAAACTGTTGCTTTTTAACCTTGCGTTGTGTCGCGTTATGTTATGTTGTGTGTTTTTTTTTTTTTTTTTTTTTAATTAATTAACTTAACCCTATGTGTGCTTCCAACGGCGAATCTTGAAGCGATTTTTTTTTTTTTTTTTTTTTTTTTGCGAAGCTGGAGCAAACCAGTGAACTGAACATGTACCTACCTACCAGGTGGAATGATGGGAAGGTGAGTCATCCATCTTGAAAAGGTTTTATCTAGCGTCGGCGTGATTATTATTCGATGGACGAATTTTGTGCAAGTACAAATGAGGGACGTATGTTATGCAGTTTTTAATCAATATGGGAAAAGATAACTCATTTGAGGAAGGGATACCTTTTCATCCCCTTTGGGGGGCGGATTGTAAATCCTACACTGTGTGAAATGTGAAAGCTTTTCATGTACGGTACTTCCGACAAGGGGTACAACTGTGGGAGAGAGAAGGTCCTTTGGGGAATTCCTCCGTCTGGCAGAATATAGGTTGAGCATTGAGCGTCGCCTTTTCACCCCACTTTGGTTCGTGATTGAAATTGATATGAATTAGTGCACTTTCCCTACCCCATCACCAGTTTGCCTTTCCCGGCGTAGCGCATTTCCAGTAGCGGGATTAAATTTGTTTATAGTTCACCTCTGATTCGTTTTTATTTTTTTTTTTCCTATTTTTTTTATGATGCAACAAAAGTGGGAAAAAAAATTTTGCGAAATATATCCACTCCTATAACAGCGCAGAGGTGTGAGATAATTGGATAAATTTTTTTTTTTTTTTTTTTTTTTTTTTTTTTGTGTATGCTTAGTGACCGAAATGGGTGTTGAAAACCCTGAGGGGTAAAATAAACCCTAAACTCATTAAGGTAAAATGCCAACCGAACCTTCTAAACCTTTGAAGGCGCTAACCCGTGAAAAACATGGAAAGCTTGGAAGAAATCTCGCGACAGTACGAGGAGACGAAGAGGGAACTGCTTCATCGCGCGGAGGCGCACAAGAAGAATAACGGGGTAGCCAAGGCCTCAGGGGGGAAGAAGCAGTACATTGAAAAGACCGTCCTTCACAATTTGCATCGGGTGATTATCAGCTACTGCAATCTGGTGAAGGTGAAATATATCCACTCCTATAACAGCGCAGAGGTGTGAGATAATTGGATAAATTTTTTTTTTTTTTTTTTTTTTTTTTTTTTGTGTATGCTTAGTGACCGAAATGGGTGTTGAAAACCCTGAGGGGTAAAATAAACCCTAAACTCATTAAGGTAAAATGCCAACCGAACCTTCTAAACCTTTGAAGGCGCTAACCCGTGAAAAACATGGAAAGCTTGGAAGAAATCTCGCGACAGTACGAGGAGACGAAGAGGGAACTGCTTCATCGCGCGGAGGCGCACAAGAAGAATAACGGGGTAGCCAAGGCCTCAGGGGGGAAGAAGCAGTACATTGAAAAGACCGTCCTTCACAATTTGCATCGGGTGATTATCAGCTACTGCAATCTGGTGAAGGTGCACAGGGAAGGGCAGCACGCACACGGAACGAATAAAGGCAAAGGCGGATCCAAAAAAGGTCACAAAAGGAGAAACATAAAGGATACATGTAAGAACGGCTGGAGTGATGTGGTCATTCATGATGAGCTCGCAAGAAAAGTGGCACAAACAAAAGCCATACAACGTGGACACATAGAAAGAGTAAATCGGTTTATTAAAACGGACAAATCGATTGGAACCTTTGGAAAGTACGTAGAGAGGGTATTTCGTTTGAGGAGGCGTAGCACCTTCGATGGGCGAGTGAACCACACTGAGACACCCCCTAGTGACGCACACAAACCACTGCGCAAACGTAGAATAAAAATAATTTTGGAAAAGGACGTCCACTTTGATCTCTTCCTTGGGGAATGCATGCACTTCCTACAAGTGCTGCTACATGGGAAATCTCAGGGTTCATATGTGCAGGCGAATTATGTTAAGGGCAGGCCGCGATCTGTGAAGGGTTTAGCCAAGGAGGATAAGAACAATTGGTGGAGCAGGATGTTAAGCGATGGGGGGAGGGGAAAGCAACTCGGGGTACCAACCGTACATGTGAACACGTTACCTGGGGAGAAAAAACGAGTTAGTACCCATTTTGCGGGGATCCCACATGGTCGAATCAATGCAGGAGTGAGGAATCCTGCTCGCCCTGGTGAAAAAAAACATGAAAACAACTCAAATGATAATGAAAGAGAAAGGCGAAAGAAAAATGACCCTTTTAAAGATCCCATCAGTCGCATGCATTTCCCGCTTCAACCAATGGACATGAAAATGGAACTATGGAGTTCCTTCCTAGATGGAAACCACCACCTTTACAATTGTATCACTCGACAAGTGGATCCTAATTTGTTATATATAATTGATAATGATAGAATGTTGCTCAGGACTCTTTTTTTTTTTAAAATGATTCACTTATTTGTAACCTATATATATGTCACCATGTGTAGAAGTGAACCCCTCTTTTCTTGCGTGGCCGTATTTTTGAACATAATTCGAAGCTTCCATGGGACATTTCAATTAGCATCCAACGGTGCAACGAAATGGAAGCACGCGTACGCCTTCTTCTGCGCCTTCGCCAGCGTGCTCAGGAGGGACATCCTGCCCCCTGCCACAGGGGTGAGCGGCGGCGGCGACACAAGCGAAGGAAGCGATGTTAGCGGCGGAGATGAACGAAGCGGCAGAAGTAATGTTAGCGACGGAAAGATGCATAACCAGTGTGGGGGAAACTCACACCTTGTGCACAGCTTCGGGGGCCTCTGCTTCGGGCCCGGGAGGGCAAGTTCACCCAAGAGCGATGCACGGAAGGGTGCTGCCCCCGCAGAAGGAATAAAGAGTCAGGCACACCGAAAAGGGAAAAGCAAGAACGAACAAATAGGAACCCCGTCAGATGGTCAGTACTGCTACTACGCAACGGTGAAAAATGAAGACGAAGTCGATTCGGTGAATTTAGCCATACATGTAACCAACACGAGCAAGGACAATATTTTTTTTTACAAAAGGTACATTGAAGAACACATTCACAAGGTGTTCCTACATGTATATAAATTGAGCGAACCAAAGAAGAGGATCTGTTCAAAAGAAAAAAACAAGGAGGAAGGAATTAGTGATCCATCAGTGTTTAAAAACTACGGGAAATTATTTCGAAATTTTTTTCAAGAAATTGTTTCATAATGGACTGGACAGGAGAAAGGAGAAGGGGAGAACTCATGATATTCATTTGGGCACCACGTAGCTACCTGCACTGTTCCTTTTGGCTAGTCCTTGCCCTTCATGAGTATTGGAAGAGGAGGCAACTCTCGTAACCCAAAGGGGAGTGCATTGCTGCGTGATGTGTCCACCCCATGACAGAAATGTATGCGCATAACTCTGTCCGTGTGTAAAGCGCGCAGGGGGCTAAGCAAAGGGGTAATATATAAAATAAATAACAAAATAAATAACGAAATAAATAACGAAATAAATAACGAAATAAATTAATTAATAAACGAGGGCATACGGACGCGTGAGGCCATATGCAGGTGTGTAAATGCATTTATTGACCAGTGACTCCCTCCAGCATTTTTTTTTTTTTAGTGTTACACGCTCATCGGTCCCCGTGCCCCTCTTTGGGGGCCAAAGTGGAAGAAGCGCCAAGTTGCCTCGCCCCGCAGCGGGGCAGGCCATCACTCCTTTGCCACTTTTCTGTTCGCGATATTTTTTTAGAACAATTTTTAGCGCATTTTTTTGCCACTTCCCACCCCCAGAGTGTCAGTGAACAAGCGCCTGTTCGCCCAATTAGTGTAGTGCACAATTTTTTTTTTTTTTTTTTAAATTGCATTTTCTCGGGTTGCGGGGGGGAGTTACACAGAATGGTACACACCACTTCGCACATTTTTTTATTTTTTTTATTATTTCCCCCCCCCCCTTTTTTTGGCGCATCCAATCACCGTCTCGTTGCTTAGAATTTTCCGAATGCGTGCAATCATCACTGTCCGCACGTGCGCATAGGTATGCACCGCGAATGTATGCACCTGTGCATGTGTGGGCATATGCAATTTTGAAGCATACCAAAAGTGTGTAATATATATGGGTGTGAACAAAAAAAAAAAAAAAAAAAAAAAAAATGAGCAAGCGATCTGAATGAAAGAATCAGAGAGTGAACGGAGAATTAACCAACTGCCGATCTGATGGACATTTCACTAAATAAAAAAAAAAAAAAAAAAAAAACATGACGCGCGCAAAATAACTAAGCGATCGCGTTGCACTTCATTTCGCCCGCTTTTTTCGTATCTCATTTTTTTTTTTTTTTTTTTTTTTTTTAAACATTTGGGCAAACCGTAACCTTGTTCAGCGTAAACTTCTTCACCGTTTCGCCAACCCATTGAAATAAAAAAAAAAAAAAGGCGCAACGTCTGACTTGTGCGTGGCCCTTAGCACAGCTTTGAAAATACTTGCTTTGGGAGCATGCACAAGTCACACGTGTCTGCTATACTCGGTTGATGTTCAGCCGCCGCCATCGCGCCTAATTAGAAGAATTTTTAATATGACCCGATAGCAAATCCACTCCCAACACAGATTTTCGTGTACAGGAGAGAGCGTGGCCGTGTGTCCGTATATACATGCACCCCCGCGCGCCCGCACGGGCATCTGTCTATACCTCCCCCCCCCCCCCCCCCCCCCCCCCCCCCCCCCCATACACAACACACACGCACATCCGACATATACACCCCGCATACACGCTCTGTCTGTCTGTCTGTCTGCCTGCTTGTCTTTTTTTTTTTTTTTTTTGTTCCCACTCCATATAAATGAGGCTGCCAGTCCTTTTAGGCGCGGTTGCCCTGGTGTGGTGTTGCACGCGTGTCGGGGTCGCGCTGGAGCTGGGGCATACCGTAACCACAATAAATACACCGGACGCAAGTACACTGAATATTGAAGTGGAGAAGGACAAGAAAAAAATATGCCAGAATGCATGTCTCTATATAAACGTAGCAGAACTGTTGTCACAAAATGAACAAAAGTCTTACGTGCAGAAATGTGAAGAAATGCTTGAAAAGTTAAAGAATGATAATCCAGATGAAGCAGCAGAGGCAGAAATAAATGAATTTGTATTAACTTTATTACATGCCCGTTCTAATTATGCAATAATAAATGAATCAGATGAACAAGTATTGAGCAAGCTCCTGAGAAGTCTCCATGGGTCAATCAGTGAAGACAGTGCATTGAAGAGAGTAAAGCATTTAATTTTATTTAACAAATTTATAAAGGATAAAACAAATATACAAAGCGTACAGGAAATGTTAGTACTAAGTAGTAAAGCAGATGAATCTATGAATGAACCGAAGCAAAAAATGATTCAGAATATTGTGAACTCATTTAAATTGTTTGGTGAATACCTAATCCTTTGGGGTCCTCATATTAGATTGTCTAAGATGCATGTTTCTGAAACATTTTTATCCATTAAGGATAATAAATTCTGTACAGACTATATTCATCTGTGCCAAAAGTTTTATGAACAATCCATAATTTATTACAGACTGAAAGTCGTGTTTGAAAATATGCTGACATATGTGGATCAGAATTCTAAACATCTTAAGAAAGATAAATTGTTAGAACTGCTAGATATGGAGAAAGACATTAATAATGAAGCCAAGATACACCATAATTATGTTTTAGAAGATGAGACAGTCATCCCGATGCTGCATCTTGTGGACATACAAGGAGGAACTAAGTTACTCGTTAAGGTGGTTCAGGATGGCAACAGCAAACTTATGCATGGCAAAGATATTGACATGAAGGAGGTTAAGGACAAGTACGTTGTTACAATGAAGAACCTGCGCAGGGAAATTAAGGAGGAGGGGGTTTACGCCGACTTGATGAAGACAATTAAGAACTACATCCTCTCCATCACGCAGATCGACAACGACATTTCCAACCTCGTGCGCCAGCTGGACTACGAGGACGTGGAGAAGTGTAAGGCGCGAGGGACGGTCTCTATAATGGCCTTATCGAGGGCCTCACTGGCCGCGTTACGTGCTGCATCACGTGCTGCTTTGCCCGTTTCATCACTACATGCATCACTGTGTGCATGATTTAACCGTTGACGCTTGCATCGCCACGCACATCACCTTCGCCCCCCCCCCCCAATCGTAGTCGTCATCGACCTGAACTTCTTCCTCTACTATGGTTTCCTCAAAATAGAAGAAGACAAAAACATGATCACCTTCAACGACGTGTCGCCCACCTTCACCAATCTGTACAGAGCCAACCACATCATCTTCCTCTACCTCCTAAAGACAGGCTTTGAGGAAAACAAAAACTCAGAGTATCTGGCCTTCAAATTCTACAAAAACATAGGATATAAAAAAGTACCCAATGACCACGCCTACGCCTTGTTCAATGCAAAAGGGGCTCTCACCAGCCTACCAAAAATTGCCCCCGATGTAATGAATGAGCATTTTCTAAACATCTTCCCAAGCATCCCGGATACCTATCAGCCCCAAAAGCCAGACGTACTAAAATTTCAATTATTCTTTACTATGGCTTTTAAGGACTGCAACATTAACCAGGGTGAGCTTTTGCGCGCGATGTACACTGCCTCTTCATAACGTACACGCTCTATACTGCCGCTTCATCGCTTAACCCCTTCACCGTTTCTCCGCAGCCTACTCTGCCAATTCGAAGGAACTCTGGAGTGAGCTGCTCTACGCCTTTGACCACTTTGGATGTAATAAAAAAAAAAAAAAAAAAAAAAAAAAAAAGACCACTCAGGGGGATAAGTATTAGTCCAGGGTTGTGGTGGATACCTCGCGCATGTCCACATATAGCTCCCTTCACTTGTCTTGTTCTACTTTCCTACCCCACCTCGCAGGGTTCTACGTCGCCCCACAGAGTATCATTTATGATCTTTCCAAAACGAGCTTCGTCAGGCAAATGCTGAGTAAGTACAGTGCCACCGACAGCGACAGCACCTCCGCGCACGTCGACGTTCCTCCTATGATTATGACTTCTGCGTAGGGGCAATTTTGGCAGCATCGTTAATAACTTCTATCCCCACGCACACACCCTGCAGTCAGCCGAAACTTCATCCTGAGGAACACTGAAGCATTGACCCTGTTGGATACCCAAGTGGCGAAACTGATGGACCTGATCCACCTGTCCCTGGGTGTAGATAAATCAAAACACGCACTAGACTTTTCCATCACGAGCAATTTTTTCCATTACGAAAATGATTATAACGCTTGGAAGAACAATAATAAAAAGAGACTCATGTACACATATGATTATATAGATTCCATTGCTAACAACTACTACTTCTACAGTGACGTGAAATATCAGGTGTTCAAAACTGAGTACGAGAACAGATTCTTCATGTCGTTTCCTAATGTGTACAGTCTTGCGTATCAGCTGTTCAATGAGCTCGCCATCAACATGAACGTGGTAACGAACGCACCTCTAAAGAAGAAGCTCAAGGACAAGTCCAAGTACGCCTGGTTCACTTTGCTTAACATCATTGGCAAGAACCACGACATTTACTCCAAGGGTCCTCGTCTGGTCTTCGCGGCCTACATGTTGGCGCTAGGTACGTGCCGTCCCCCCGAGGGGTTCAGCCGCGCCACGGCGCCACAGCGTAGCCGATTAACCGTGCAGCCGACCAATCACTTAACCCGATCAATCACTTAACCGCTCACCCCTCCCGCAGTCTACTTTATCGAGTCCCATATTGACATATCGCGATACCAGCCAAAGGAGTACTTTTTCATGAAGCAGTCGATGCCCCTAATTGACAACGTACACAAGAGCGGCTTCACTATGCTGAAGAAGAGGTGTGAGATGCTAATTAATTTCATGAAGATAAACAAGACGCCTCAGAAGCACCAACATACGAACATGGAGGAGTACATTAAGCTCATGAATTTAACTGCTATCGTTTTGTGGGGAAAGGAGAGTAAAAAATCTGTGTACTACGACGAAGACGTTAGTTTGTACAAGAAGCTGATGATTGCCTGTGTGTTCAATGGAGGTAAGTGTGTGCACGTCTTCTGGTGATTCTCATTTGGGGTAGTAGTAGTAGTATGTTATATAGCTCTAACTCAGTGCACACCTTTATAACGTCATCCACAACGTGGCCCGTTTTTTTTTTTTTTTTGTGTGTCTCCCCCTCCACAGGCAAAACCGTGCAGGAGAAGGCTATTGAGAGCATCAACAAGTCTTGTGACGTAAAGTTTTACGGACTGAACCCAAACAAGCTAGACGAGTTCATTGACATTAACATGAGTATTAACAAATGGAACCCCATGATATTGGAAAAGCAAGCGCAGTCCTTTGTCCTGAGTTGCAAGGCGCAAAAGTTAATGTATAACAATATTAACGTGGAGAAAATCAAATTAGAAGATTTTTACAAATTGGCAGATGCACCAGAGATGATCAAGACATACCATTGTTTCAAATTAGGAAGACAAGCTGCATCTTTATTAGAATCCATAATTCTAAAAAAAAAGTTTGTTAGGTTTAGAGTTAAGGATGCCATGGACGTGTATGATTTTTTCTACATAAATAAAGTGCTCTCCAACAATGTCCGCCATGATTTCGAAGTGTTTCTTAAAGACAAACAGGCCTATGAAAAGACTCAAAACGAAATTATAATCTCCAACAGTCCGCTCGGCCCAGAGAAGACCAAGAAGCTCATTGACGAGCACCAGTGCTACTGGTTCAGCAGCTACGACAACTTTAAAGTGTTGTGGATGCACGTCTCGAGTAAGAGAAGCGTAGTGTGGAGCGCTATATATTTTATTTATTTATTTTTTTTTTTTCCTACATGTTGCTTACCATGTGGGGGTTTCTTGAAGGGTGGAGCAGACGGCCCACCTCTGCATGACGGCACCCATACATGTTCGCACATCGTCATATCACTACGTGTGACACTCCCCCCCTTCTGCAGGTAACATGGGAACCGGAACGTACTTAAAAAACTTTTTCTCGGAGATATGGCGAAACCTGCATTTCTTATTCAAGAAGAAGGCTACGGTGAAGGATGTAGAATTTTTCGCAGGTGCGTTTTTGTCCTTTCCTATGTGCCAAGTTATTCTCTTCTCCACTGTTGCTTTTTCCCAAGCGCATTAAACGAAAGAATCGCTTCTTCACCCCGTAAACATCTTCACCCCCCCCCCCCCCACAGGAGACCTGTCCCAAATGAATTTGATCGACTACTACTCGCCACTGGTCCACTCAGAATCCCACTGCCAAGAGAAAATGCAATCCCTGTTTATATCCCTAAGAGATAATGATGAGCAGAACCGTATGGACATTCCAGACAAAATTAAGAAGGCCTACTTTCAGTGTAAATTGGACTACTACAAAAATAATCACACAGATAAAACGCACTTAATTAAATCGAGGGACTTCCTAGACAAGAGGGTATACGTTCTGAAGCAGCCCTATTACCTCATCAGCAACATTGACAATACACATAACAATAAATTGCTGCGACTGTTTGTGACGGAAAGCACACTAGATTATCTTCTACTAGATAATATAAGCATCCCTGAGTGCTTCGGACGATGTACCATAGATCATTTTAATAAGGTTTTACTTCAACCAGAAAAAACAAACAAACGAGACGAAGTAATAAAAAATGCATTAATCCCTGAGAACACCGTATCTCAGAAGAGGAAAGAAATGACTGTGTATGTTAGCAACTTGTATGTACATAATATAAAGACCGATTACTTAACTAAGGAAGAAATTACCCGAAAGGACATTGAGGATAATAATGTGAAAGTCTGCTTAGGAGTGGGTACCTACTACAATGAAAACTTCCTCACCAATGAACATTTCAATTTGAGTTACAAACCCGTGTTGGATTTTGGCCCTGAGCATAATTTTAAAGTCTTCCTCAAGAAAAATGAATCTGAGCTCTCCAAAAGTGAAAACGACATTTGCTTTGTCAACTACAACTTAGCCATAACAAATATAGGTAAGCCCCCCTGCAGACACCAACGACAGGGACAGAAAAAAAAAAAAAAAAAAACAAGAGAACACTCCATACAGCGTGCACCCGGAGTTCATTTACACACCAATGCGCTCCGATCAATACTCTCCAATATGTTGTTCATGTTCATCCCCCCCTCATCGCTATTCACTACCACTTCACTTCAACTTCTCCCCGCAGAAATCACCGACCCGTACCGCGAAATCAGCGAAGATTTGATAAAAAATTTGTACATCTTAAAAAATAAATAAGCGTCACCTAGACGCTCAGGCACTGTGAGCGCGGCGCAAGCCGAGGAGGGGCCTCCAGGCCGTCACAAATTGGCACCTGGGTGAGCACCTAAAAGGGGAAGGTTGCACCGTCGCGACGATTATGTGCAAATCCGTCATTTTGGGGTCGTCACTTTGAGGCGGGAATTCCAAACGGTGAGCAGTTCCCGAGGTGCGCAGCTCCCCCGTGCAGATGCAACAAAAGGGAGATGAACCCTAATGCGTAGACAAAACGAAAAGCACTAATGGGAGAGGAAGATAGAGAGAGAGAGAGAGAGAGAGAGACAAAGAGAAAGAGAGAGAAAGAACAGTCCGGAGTGGTTCTGGTGGCCTTCCCACTTTCTCTTTTCACCAAGTGCAGACAAATCTTCAAATATTCCTCATCCTGCTTAATGTGTCAATTTTTCGATTCAGAATGTCGATTTTGCTGTCCTAGAAAAAAAAAAAAAAAAAAAGTTAATTAACGTGTAAACACGTGCAGAGGAGGCGAATTGGGCACGACAGAAAAATTATGAACACTGGACCAATTGGACACGTGCCACAACTGCACAGCTGTGCAAAACAGCGCAAGTGAGAAATGCCAC